GATAATGCTGCTGCTAATCTAGCTGCAGGCCATTTGCTTCGACAAAAGAGGCCCCGCATATTTTGGATTCCTTGCGCTACACGTTGCGTAGATCTTACGTTTGAGGCAATTGGTGAATTGCCTCCTATTAAAGGAATTAATTTTAAGGCTAAGGAGGTTACAATCTTCATATCCAGTCACATACTTACGCTTAGCATGATGCACATGTTTATAAAAAAGAGAGAGCTAGTGAGGCCTAGGGTCACTAGATTTGCCATTGCCTACTTTAGTCTACAGAGCATGTATAAGAGGAGGATCGTATTAAGGTCTATGTTTACTTCAGAGGAGTGGAGTATGTGTAAGTGGTCTACAGATGCCTATGGACAGAAGATACGAGGTATTATTCTTTCGAAATATTTTTGGTGTAGGGTGAAGCATGCAATATTAGTATTTCTTCCCTTGGTGAAGGTCTTGTGGTTGGTTGATGCTGATAAGCCCTCCATGGGTTTTATATATGATGCAATGGAAAGGGCTAAGAATGAGATTGCAGAGAATTTGGGCAATGATGCAACGAAGTATGCCTCAATTTGGGAGACTATAGATGATAAATGAGATAGGCAGCTCCATAGACTATTGCATGCAGCGGGGTACTACTTGAACCCCAAATTCTTTTATGCAGATGCAGATATTGAGTCAAAAGGGGTAATTATGGATGGTTTTAATGAGTGCCTTAAGAAAGTAGTTCTTGGTCCAAATATCTATGATAAGATATCAACTGAAGAGCTAATTTCGTACAAGTGTTCTTTGATGTCATTTGGGAAAGATATGGCATTAAGGCAGAGAAAGAAAGACGAATCGAGTAATATTCTTTTGACTTATGTACTTTTATTTTATAGAATATAAAATTATATTTTTCTTTCAAGTTCTGATAATGTTAAATACCTAAATTAATTATAAATATTGCCCATATATTGCGGCTTAATGGTGGAGACAACATAGAAGTAGCGCTCCAAACCTCCAGAAGATGGCTATGCGGATCTTGAGTTTGACAACTACCTCTTCTGGTTGTGAGCGCAATTAGAGTTCGTTTGAGATGGTATTTTACTATTTAAAGGAATACAATTTTGTATGCTTTTTGTGTTTATAAGTTCATATTCATTTTGTAATATAGATTCATAAAAAGTGAGAAGATCATAGACCTATAGTAGTTACTTATGCATTATTTGTCCTTATAGGTGCATACGAAGAGAAGAAATAAGCTTGAGCAAAGGAAGCTCAATGATTTGGTTTTTGTTAGAGATAATCAAAGGCTCAAGGAGAAGAAAAACCAGCCAAATAAAGACCATATTTCTTCGAAAGACATGGAGAATGATTCAGATTGGTTAGTTAGTGACCCTGGTACTAAGGAGGTCTTCCATGGGGAGGGTTTGACATGGGAAATGATCGTGGAGGCTTCAGGGCAAGCTTCTGATCCTAGGAGGGCTACTCGAGCAACTTCTTCTGCTGGTACATCACAGAGGGAGATGTAGGAAGAGGAGGCAGATTCAAAAGAATCTCTAGAAGAAGAGGAATAAGTTGAAGTGAGTGATGATTCTGATGATGACGGCCTAAATTTTGATGCAGATGAAAGCAATGAAGATGATGATTCTGATTCTTATTGATGTCTTGATTGTCTTCTCTCTTCTTTTGAAGTAACTTTAATACTTTATTGCACCATCTTAGTTTGGGCTTTAGACATTTGGAGTTTGCACGATTTTTATTTAGTTATGTGGTTTGTAATTTTTTTACCTTTTTGGACTATTTCGTTGTGTGGTTTATTGGTTTTTTTTATAGTTTTGGAAGTTAGTTTGTTGATGACTTGGAGAGTTGGAGACTTGGATGTTATTATGGTTTATTTTATGGATATGGAATATGGAGAATATGAGAGTTAGAGACCTTACAATAGCCTATTAAACTTTTAAATGTTTTGTATGATTCAAAATTTGGAATAAATTACAAATTTTGACACAAATATATCCGTATATGTGCATTTGGATAGCAAATATATAAAAAAAAACTAAAAATTTACACCGCAGGGCGCCTGAGGTTCTGAGCCCCCGCCTAAGCGCTGGGCGCCAGGCAGGTTGCCTAAGGGACACCTAGCGTTTTTTGGAACCTTGGGGACTCATGAGCTTTTATCTTTCTACAATATGTTCTTGGTGTACAGGTTATTATGGTTTCAGACCTCTCCTATTGAGGGAAACATTTTATAATGTCATCATAAGCCTAGTGTAGGTTTTATGAAGGCTGAACTTCCTAATGGGCATCATTATAAATATTCATCGTACTTCTTTGACGTCTCTTGTTTCTGACATCTCATTTTGCAATCTTCTTTCCTGTTGAGCCTTGTCTATTACCTTCCCAGCAGCTCTTAGAAGCGTGATGAACAGTAAACTCGCTTTTAAGACATCCAGATCATTCTTATAAAGAACTTTAGTCAAGATACTAGCTATCTGATTTTAGATTGAATAAAAATAGTATGGACATCACCCATTAGTTGATTGCATTGGAAACCATTCTTAGGAAGATTGAAATTGAATGTTGAACCATGCGCAATGAACCTTTTTGAGACCATATATGGCTTTAGGCAGACAACACATACAATTGGGATGAAGAGGTATAGAGGATATCGTAATGGTGGCTTTTCTAGATAATCCTCCTAGAGTTTAGTCTGTCGGAAGGATTTTTTGACATCATGCGTCTTATCTCCCAATTTGTGACAGGATCTATCATGCCACCAAAATCAAGTCTATGTAACAACAGTTTATATCCTCTTCTACTATGTGTGACTTATATCTCTTGATTTTTTTCCATGGAAATAACATTAATTCGGTAGACCCGATTACCTTCATTACCAGGTTAGTAACAACTAATGTACATGTTTTTCCGGTTAGTGTCAAGTTCAACTTGCGTGACTGGTTCAAAAAGGGTCTAGGGCAGCAAAAAATGTGGCTTAATCGATATACGTAATAGATTCAAGAGTCCTGATGTGATGCAAATAATGAAGCTGTTGAAGCCTAATATCAATTAGATGCAGAGTGTACAAGCCATTTGTAAGACAAAGGCTTGTTCTTATGTGTTGGTGGGTCCTTGTGTAATTATGGAAAAAGAGGAAATGGAGTACCAACACTGTTTTTTTTTTTTGAGTGAAGTTAACAAGAGGACCAACACTGTTAAAATTGGCAATGGTTTCAAGTAAAGGAGATTCACAAAAACTGGAATAACAGATAAGTTTCAGGATCCACCGATTAGAATCGAGACCGGCCAGTTCATAGATTAGCGAATTAGATGCCAATTCTTTGCTAGTTCATAGAGTGGCCAGTTCATAGATTAGCGAATTAAATGCCAGTTCATAGATTGGCCAATTCTTCAGAAATTGATTTTAACTGGTTCTCTAAATTTTTTGTTGTATGTGTGAAAAGGAGTATCTTATTTGGATCAGTTCCAGTGACCCAGTTCTTATAACATTGGTGATAACACCTATGACGTTTGGTGTCACCAGAAAAAGATGTCACTGCATTACTCTTCACCATTTGTGATGATTTTAGATGATGGCACCCAAAATGCTAGTTCCAAATGACAAAATCTACATTTGATGGAATGACTGGAGGAATGGGAGCCTCTAACACAATCATTTTGTCAAACGATCAAACGACTGAATGATAACTTTGCCAACTTATTTTGAAGTCCTTGACCACAAGATTCCATGGAGTAATTTTTGACATATATTAACAGTAGGAATGGAGGGTGGGATGTTAATGTAAAATTCTATGAAGAAATTGAAGTGCATTTAAAGTAACTAGTGAACTAGACAACTAACAGTAAGTTCTTCTCGATATCAGGCAGATGCGTAAGTTATATTAAGTTGTTATATGAAGGACAAACACACACACACATACATTGCCAATATAAATATACAATAATTGGATTGGAGCACCACAGATGAGAAGGACAGACTTGGGTTTCAGTTTGTTGAACCAGTAAAGCATAGTCAACACGTAACTTAACCCATTATAACAATTTAGTTCAATATGATTTCACTTGCATACTTGGAAAATCACCTTGGTACTAGTTCAAGAGATTGGGCCTGCACCAAGAGGACCATCATGAGAAGTTTAAGAATAACCACTCCTTTATTGAAGAAACAGTTTCTTGTAAACCACTAACATAACTGCAACCAGAAACAATTATGAACCACATAAACATCCATGACATGATCTATACCATGGTAAAAATATTCTATTATTGGGATGATCAACGGATCTAAAGATGAATTGTGGAAGAATCGTTCTTGATTAAACTCTAAGGATTACAGCTCAAGTTATGGAGGGCACTGGTGATTTAGCACATCTGCTTGTAACAGATTTCTAGATGGGATCATTTCTCAAGGAAAGCTAATGCCAATATTACAGAGTTCATGGGTTTGAAAGCTTAGTGTGGTGTTTCTGTATTGGATCCCAGAGCTCGACAATGAATTCAGACTTAGTTAAAACGTTAAGAAATTGTCTGGAGGAATCAAAGCTACAACACTTGTTAATATCAGGGTAACTATTTTTTCTGGTTTCTTTCTTTTAAGTTAACCACCCATCATCTTTTATCCTCCATTTCCTCTTTCATTACCACCCCATTTAGTGCTTCAACACATATGAAACAAATGCACACTTTTGCATCAGACCTTTTCATACTGTCAGTTGCACCCAAAGCATAACACATAGCATGAAAATGCTTATTTCTTACATAAACTTAAATATGCTTTTACATTAAACCCATCCATTAATTTCAGTCTCACCCCATTCTACAAATTATAAAAAACCAAACTTTATAAAATACTCTTCTAATTGTACGGATTTCTACATACTTTTGCATCAAACCTTGGCTTCAATCTCACCTTCCTTCGACAAACCCTAAACCTAACACAAAAAGTTAGACTCTTTTATTGATAAGTAATAAATAAAGACTTGCTTTATTATCGAGAAATTGGGCTATCGAGCTTGGCCCGAATTCTCACCAGGCCTGCCTGAATCTTGCCTTCTACCACCATTTCCAGCAACCATAAAACTGCCATTTAATCTGGTTTCACCATTACCATCTCTGCGAAAACCACCATTACCCCTGTGCTCACCATAATCACTCCCTTGAAAGCCACCAAACGCGAAACTGCCGATACCTCCAAAACCAAAACCAAAACCACCTCCTCTACCTCCACCTCCTGAACCTGAACCTGAACCAAAACCAAAGCTAAAACCAGTGCCTGAAGTGCCGGATCCCGAGCCATAACCCCAACCTCCATGAGGTCCCGAACCTGAGCCCCACTGGAAACCCCAGCTTTGGTTTGGGCTGGAGCCTGATTGCCAACGGAAGTCCGAGTGCGCCATGGCCAGTGGGATTTGACATTTCAGTGGATCTAGGGTTTTTTTTGATTGGATACAACGCTGCCTTATTGGCTTTGGTTTTGGAAGCTCTCACCAATTGCTGATTGTCTTTTGGCCTTTGAGACGGGCTATTTTGTTTTTTTTTTTTTTTGGAAAATTACAAAACGACCTCACGCGTATATTTTGCAACATACCCTTCACTTAACCTTTTCTCCAAAATACATTTTCCATGGAAATACCCCACAATAAAATAAAAAATAAAAGAAATACTTAAACTACCCTTCCTTACTTTTTACCTCATACCTCTTTTCTATGTTTAAGTGCCCTTCGCCACTGTATAAGTATGTTCCAACAGTGCAACACTATAGAGTCACAACGCTCCGGCACTGTCTATGTGCGCTCCGACAATGGATCATGTGTTCCAGTAGTAGAATATAGAGTTACAACACTATGGCATTGCATATGTGAGCTCCGGTACTGTGTATGTGTGCTGTGCGCTTCGGCAATACAACACTCTGGAGTCACAACGCTCCGGCACTGTTTATGTGCGCTCCGACAGTGGATCATACGCTCTAGTATATGTGCACTGCGACAGTGGATCATGCGCTCCAGTATATGTACTCTCCTACAGTGGATCATGCGCTCCAGTATATATGCGCTCCGACAGTGGATCATACGCTCCAGTATATGTGCGCTTCAATAGTGGATCATGCGCTCTAGCACTGTGTAAATGCACGCCACAGTAGAATCTGGAGTCACAACGCTCCGACAGTAGATGAAACGTTCTGATACTATGCAAATACACTCCGACAGTTCAACACTATGGAGTCATAACACTCGGACACTTTCTATGCACATGCCACGTAATCTGGAATCATAGCGCTCAAACACTGTATATGTGTATTCAGGCACTACGGTGGTTCGTTCAGGCAATGGGCTCTCAAAGTCGACACCAAATCTGGTCAAATTGATTTTTTTGTACAGGAAAGTCATTTCGGTCTAAAAAACTGAACTTTTTCGGGTATTTGCATAGAAAGGTAAACGGGGTAAGATGCACTGATGTCTGGTCTTGAGTTTTTTTTTTTTGTTCAATGGCGTCCCTTTTGCAAAACCTCGTCTCTCCCCAAACCCATACCCAGAGCCACGTCTCTCTCTCTCTAAACCTAGAACCTCCTCTCTCTCTCCCCAAAGCAAAACCCCTGTTCTACAAACGCCTTCTCTCTTTCTCCACAAACTGTTATTCTAGAGAGAGAGATCTAACAATGGAGAAGTATTAGAAGTTGGAGAAAGTGGGAGAAGGGACATATGGGAAGGTGTACAAGGCACAAGACAAGGTAAAAGGCCAACTCATTGCCCTAAAGAAAACAAGACTCGAGATGACGAGGAAGGGGTTCCACCCACTGCACTGAGAGAAGTCTCTCTCTTGCAAATGCTCTCTCAGAGCATCTATGTTGTAAGGTTAGTTCACCCCATTTATTCTTTTTGCTATGAATATTCTTTCTTGGTTCTTTGAAAGTTCATAATCTTTCACCCCATATGGCTAAATTTTGTTGAAATTCATTAACAATGATTACTATTTTACTGTAACACTTTGTTGGTTTAAGTCCTTGATCGATATGTTTTCTATATTTTTTTAAAACCATGATCCTCTTTTTTTCTCCTCTCCAATTTGTGATTAAAGAAAAGAAATGTTAGATCTTGAGAGATGGGCTTGTGGGCTTTAATTCTTTGGGGCTTTTGTAGTAATCAGTGTTTTCTCTTTGATATCTTTCTTAAATTTCATGATTTTTTTCTCCATTTATCTTGGGGAATTTTCCTGGATTTCTTTATTTTGCGTTAGTGTTAATATTTTAGTTCCTTTTTTGTATGGGATTTCATGTTTTGAGGGTTTAGTCTTGAAATTTCAATTATTTCTATTTTCCATGTACATCGATTGGGGAAAACAAATTGTATGAAGATATATTTGAGTCTGTGGATCTTAATTTATTCTTGTTCGAGATGAAGATTTTACTGAGAAAGTTTCCAAACCAATTTCGGGGAAGACTTTCGAGTTTTGTTTTTTTAATTTTAAAATTAAATATTATAAAATTATATTGATATATTAAAAAATTTTAAAAATGAAAAATTCCAAACAAATAAAAAATATATTATTTTTTGCTGACAGAGGCATGACACTGAAAAATAAAATTTTTACTACTTATATAATTGAACCATCAACATTGACAAACCATAAGGGTTTCTAGATATTTGAAAAATAAGAATTTATTTATAATTTGAAACCCCACAAAAGCACATACAAATAGAAACTGCACAATACCATTTTTGTTTTTCACCATTTGCACTGCATTATTTCCTATATTTCTTTTACATAATTAACTATTTTAACTAATTATTTCAGAAAAAGAAAATAGTTGTCCGAGTCAGGAGACCTATCAAACAAACAGAGCAAAAAAAATGATTTTTTTCTCCCTTATCAATATCATCATGGCCTAGATCCTGAATCTCTTTAAGATGGACTTGAGAGAGGTGATTCACATGCACATGTAAGTACTGGAACTCATTGAAACCCTGTTCTTCAGAAAAATGTACAGAGCCTACTAAAAGTAATAATAAAAAAACCAATATTAGGGCATTGCTCCTTTGAGAGAGAGAGAGATTATTTGCCATGGAGAGATGGATTGGCATCACCTATCTCCTTGAGGTGAAGTAGGAACGAAGTAGTCTTTACCCCTTTGGATTAGTTTTTGGGGAATGATTTCATGCAAACGGTTGTATAGTAGTATAATGCATCTATTTTAAAAAACCATGTTAGAGGCATATGTTTGACACGAATTTTTAAATGCACACTCTTTCATTTTGAAGAACAATCACAAAAATGAAAATTTTGAAAAAATGCTATAGAAAGTTTTCATTCTAGCCTAATTAATATAAGCCGTTCATTTTATTGAGATGGTTAGATATCGACCTCAAAAGGAATTTTTTATTCCCAAAATTTTTATAAAGCGTTATCATCATTAGATTAATAATGCTAGAAAAAAAAAAAGTGATTTTAAATTTGTTAAGGCCTAGATCTTGAAATTCACCAAATAGATGATCGAGATTGATTGTTCGATGGATTTTAATTTTTACCATATCTAGGGTGCCAATTGAAACCTCCATTTGTTGATAGGTTTGGAAAATTTGCAAACAATCACGTGAGGCACCATGACGAGAAGGTTATGGGAAGCATTCTAGTCTAGAGAATTTGGGATACCTCGATGGCCTAAAATGAGGAACTTTGAATCCAAAAAATATGGATGTTGAAATGGCAGGCAATAGATTGAAAACTGATAGGATTCATGTCACCATGAAAATATGCCGAATGATATTCCATCAAATTCTAAACAATGGGATTTCTAGTTCTTTAGAAGAATGTAATAGTGACTTTTTTTATGTATATAAATTTGTTATATCAACGAGGTATTGTTAATTTTGGCACAACGGCCTCATATGTTGTAAAAGCGAAATTGAGAGCGACAGCCTTTTTACTCCCTCGTTCGGTTCCAGTGAAGGGTTATGCAATAGATGAATTCGATCCGGCCTTAACTAGAAGCACAAACGAGATAGGAACATCTGCATTGGTTTACTTGTCCCAAATCCGCCGGAGAAGCGGGAGCATATCACTTGACATCATTTCATCCCCTCATTCCTCTCTTTCTCTCACTGTGTGTATGTCTGGTGGATCAATAGTTGTTACTAAAATCCCTCGATCATTGCGTATGTTTGGTTGTGGTGGATCAATTTATTTACACTGAATATCTCCGCTACCATACGAAAGATTTTTGAAAGCATATCAATAGTTTCTAATATCAATGAAAGGAACTTGAATATTCTCAATAGCCAATAATTCAATTTTATACTCTAAAACCTCTTGTCATATGTCACTTGCTACCTAGGAGAAGAGATTGGCACATAAGGTGATTAATATCAAATGACAAAGGTTTATATACTTCCCCTACCGCTTAGAAGATCTATGCTTCCTTTATCAGCTAGCTGTCCAATTTTGACCAAGATAGCTGCTCACCGTTTGAACTTAGATCCGATGTCTCAAAGTATTTTATTTTTAGTTTTTTATATGTAAATTGTATGAAAATGAAATTTGGTACATGCCATATTCTCATTGGGGCACACCTATAAAAAATATTAAAAAATATTTTTTGATAAAATATAATGACCAAAATACCCCTTGAAAATTTCAGGGGTATTTTGGTCATTTTATTTTTAAAAGGGTATTTTGATCATTATATTTTATCGAAAATATTTTTTTTATATTTTTTGCTAGTGCGAGTTTAATAGAGGATTGGACATCCAAAATTTGGTGTCAAAATAGTTTATAGAAAAAAAATTAAAAAGAAAATAGTGTAGAGACATGACATTATGATTGGGGCAATCTTAGCCTTCCATTCAGAATGGATGGTTGAATAAGCGGAAGTATATAAATTTTATGCGGTAGGAAAAGCATGCCCCAAATCAAATATAATGCCAATGAGAGATAACAAAACAACACAATAACCAGGAAGCCAAGAAACTCAAGTGATCGCATAAGCATTCATAATTCTTAAATTTACATGAATAAATAGAGCATACATTTTTGTCTTTCTCAAAATCTCCCCAAATAAGAGAGCATCAATGACCAAGCAATTTCATTGAACCACCGACACAAAAGCCTCAACATCTTTGGTAATGGATCAAAGTGCACTGTCATGCACTAGTGCAGCAATTCCATTACTAGACCTACATTATAACAAGTATCAATGAATAAAAATTCCAATTTTTCAAAAGTGCACTGTCATGCACTAGTGCAGCCATTCCATTACTAGACCTGCATTATAACAAGCATCAATGAATAAAAATTCCAATTTTTTTGTGATAAAAAACATATGAAGTAGCTAAGGTTTGATGACATCAAATAGATAACAAGCATCAATGAATAAAAATTCCAAATTTTTTGTGATGAAAAACAT